TATTATTATTACTGTGTGTACATGCTTGTTCTCCCTTCCATCCCCCAGTGAGCAAAGAGAGGGTATATGAGGCCGAGGTGCCACGCTTCCCTCTGCCCAAATGTGCTAGGCCCACAGAGCCGGTGACGGGCAGTCGCAAGCGCAAGGTGCGCAAACATCTCATCACTCGCATCAGTCGGGAGGAGGAGGCCAAAGGTAATGCAGTCCACCCTGTGTAAGACAATCACCTGTATCAGACAATCACTGTATAAGACAATCACCTGTGTAAGACATTCACCTGTGCAAGACAGTCACCTGTAATCACCTGTATAAGACAATCGCCTGTATAAGACAATCACCTGTATAAGACAGTCACCTGTATAAGACAGTCACCTGTATGAGACAATCACCTGTGTAAGACAATCACCTGTATCAGACAGTCACCTGTATAAGACATTCACCTGTATAAGACAGTCACCTGTATGAGACAATCACCTGTGTAAGACAATCACCTGTATCAGACAGTCACCTGTATAAGACATTCGCCTGTATAAGACAATCGCCTGTGTAAGACAATCACCTGTGTAAGACAATCGCCTGTGTAAGACAATCACCTGTATAAGACATTCACCTGTATAAGACAATCACCTGTATAAGACAATCACTGTGTAAGATAATCACCTGTATAAGACACTTACTGTATAAGACAATCACCTGTATAAGACATTCACCTGTATCAGACAATCACTGTATAAGACGGTCACCTGTATAAGACAATCACCTGTATAAGACAATCACTTGTATAAGACAATCACCTGTATCAGACAGTCACTGTATAAGACAATCACCTGTATAAGACAATCACTGTATAAGACAATCACTGTATAAGACATTCACCTGTGTAAGACAGTCACCTGTAATCACCTGTATAAGACAATCGCCTGTATAAGACAGTCACCTGTATCAGACAATCACCTGTGTAAGACAATCACCTGTATCAGACAGTCACCTGTATGAGACAATCACGTGTATCAGACAATCACCTGTGTAAGACAATCACCTGTATCGGACAGTCACCTGTATAAGACATTCACCTGTATAAGACAATCGCCTGTCTTACATCACCTGTGTAAAACAATCACCTGTGTAAGACATTCACCTGTATAAGACACTCACCTGTATAAGACATTCACCTGTATAAGACACTCACCTGTATAAGACATCACCTGTGTAAGACAATCACCTGTGTAAGACATTCACCTGTGTAAGACAATCACCTGTATAAAACAATCACCAGTATAAGACAGTCACCTGTATAAGACAGTCACCTGTATAAAACAATCACCTGTAAAAACGGCCACTTTCCACTAGATGTTTGAGAGGGCTGCTGTGTAGTTTGCTTCTTTCTCTGAGTAGTTGTCCGAACTTGTTTTATTTTAACCGTTTAACTGTTTAAGCAAAGATTGTGGTTATTGCACTGAATTCAAGTTGGAGGCTCAAGTCAATAAATCGATGATGTTACTATTGTGTACCTTACCAAGAGATGTGTTCAGTATAACTTTTTTGACAACCCCTCCCTTTTATTTTCCTGTGGCGTTTTTAAAATCAACTCCCTTTTTTACAGAGGTATACTTAGAATTATAACTCTTACACACACACACACGCACGCACACACCCACACACACACACACACACACACACACCCACACTCACACACAAACACACACCCACCTTTTTTTTTCGAAGGTGTATTTAAAATAACTTTTGGACCATTTTTTCACCTCCAGAGCCTGCCAAGCCTCCTGTTCAAAAGCCTTCAGCATCGTCATCCAGTGAGAAAGAATCTCATAAAAACGCAGATGGAGGTGACAACGCGAGTCTTGTGTCCCGTCAGTCTGCCAAGGCGACGACTCCGGCAACCACAGCGGTATCTAGTGCGGGCTTATGGGGACTGAGCGGAAAGGCTGAGAAGTCTCCTGCGACATTGAAACCAAAACCTGCCGTGTCGTCAAGCAGCAAGTCAAACAAAGACAAGAAGTCGGCGAGGTCTGTTAAAGAAAAGTCGCAATGTTTTTCAGAATCGGCTCTTTCCCTGGGGAGGGACAAAGGAAGCGCAGGTGAAAGTGAGACCGCAGCAGCGACGACGAAGGCAGCAGATACCTCCAGCGCTGACCCGTCGGCAGCGAAATCGTCAAGAATCGAACCTCCCGCAGCGCTGTCGTCGCAGAGCATCCCACAACTTCCCACCTCAGCTCAAGCCATTGCGGCGACAGATTTCACCGCACCTTCTGCCAAGTTGGATTCGCTCGTGGCTACCGCCCTGCTACAGTACAACTCGGCGTACTTGCCCAAGGTTGCAGCCGCGGCCTTGACGGAGGCCGTGACCGCGGAGATGACGCGGGACAGACAGTGTCCCCTGTCGGAGACGGCCCCCTGCCCCGGCAACAGCGTCCCGACCCCGGGGGATGCCACAAGAGCTGCCGTAGCGCCTGCCTCCTCCTCCTCATCGTCCTCCGGCGTTCCTACCTCTTTGGAAAGTAGCAGCTCTCTCATAGCCAGGTCGCTAGCGAGCACAGGAGACAACAGACAGCCGTACGTTCCTACCTCACTGGGCCGAGCTTCAGTCCTCTCATCTTTGTTGACGTTATCGTCTTCGGTATCGGCGTATTCCGCCTTCCAACCTCCCGTGATCACAAACGCATCGACCACACAGCCACAACCACAATTTGTCGGAGGGGCTGTCTCCGCAGGTCTCGAACCCCTCCCTGCGGCCACTGCCTCTGCCACTCAGAAATCTGGGAAGCTGTCGGCCATAAACTCATCCTCACCACCGACCTCGCTCCCGGCTCTGTCCGCCTTCTCCACGCCCACAGTCGTGTCTGCTTCTCCCCCGGTCACCTCTCTGTCCAGTCCCTTACATGTGGGCAGCAAACTCCCAGTCGCTGCAGACGGAGCGAAACACGCGAGGCCTGCGGCCATAGCGGCATCCTCGCGAACAACTTCCTCCATTTGGTCGGTTCTGAAGGCTGGTTCCAACGTCGGCTCTCACTTGGGTCAAGCAAAGTCGTTTCGGCCGGCACCCAGCGCCTGGTCGGGGGGGAAGAAGAAGGATGTCAAGGACGATTCTGGAGGTCGGAAGCACGGCGGAGCAGCACCAGCGGTGAACAAGGAGAAAGATAAAACTGTGGTTCCCAAGTCGCCGCTGTCGTCATCGGGGTTGGATAAACTTCATTGTGTAGCTCCCACCGCTGTTAGTAAAAGTCATAATACACCGCCCACCCTGCACAAAGGTCAAAGTTCACAATCAGCCGTGGATAAAGCACGAAGAGGGGAACCCGTGGTAAGTCAAGCACAGTCTAGATCGTCGACGGTGGTACACAATAAACCACAAAGTGCACCGTGGTCTGTGGGTAAAGAACAGGTCGCACCTCCCACTGTGTTGTCTGCCCCGGAGAAGGTTGGTTGTGTTGCGACTTGTGCCGTGCGGAAAGGGTCGGATGGTACGTTGTCAAGTGCTGCGGAGCAAGAACCATGTGTAGAATCTGGTGCGGATAGAGTCCGTGCTTCCAACGCATCGACAAAACTTTCTCTCAGTGAGCAGGACCTTCATAGAATGGCACCGAATGTCGCAGGAAAGGCTGCGGAGGAATTGGTTGGTCGCACAAATGGCGCGGCTCTCACTTCCGACGGGGAGGTCAGGAAGAATCGCGTGTCGACCTTGAAGACGAGCATTCTCCGTGGAAGTCTGCTGGGCGTGCACACAGGAACACCCGCTGCACACCCAGTACAGCTGTCTTCAGAAGTGTGCAAGGAGAGTTTTGCTCCGTGTCTAGACTTGGATGATTCCCTCAAGGATAAGGAGTCTTTGGCCGGCGTTGTGGGTGTGAGTATTTCCGGAGACAGCAATTTGGAAACGGTTTCTGTGCAGCTGAATTCTGCTCTGTGGGAAACTGCACGCCCGCTGTCGACTACTGCGGGTCCGGTCCCCCCCTCGGGTCAAGGACTTCCTAGCTTGTCGCTGCCTGGAGCAGTGCCGTACTGTATATCTCTGGCTTCGTGCGCCTTGCCCATTTCCTCGCTGAACTCCTCGTCATCATCATCGTCATCTGTTCTGCCCTGTATCCCCATCACAACCCACGCAGTGGCCAGACCTCTGACCTCGGCGTTGTCCTCCCCTCCGACCTCGCTGTCCTCCGCTGTGGTCCCCC